AGTTAAAGTGTGGGTTTCCTAGAACTTTAAGTGCACACCATAGGTGAGAGTTCATCCACCTAACCCTCAGTGTAGGGTCCTTAGACTTTAGGTGCACACCATGGGTGAGAGTCCATCCACCTAGTCCTCGATTTAGGCTTCATACATTTTAGAAGCACACCTTAGGTGAGAGCTCATCCACCTAGTCCTCGGTTCAGGCTTTCTAGAGCTTAAGTGCACACCCTAGATGAGAGTCCATCCACCTAATCTTCAGTGTAGGTTTCCTAGACTTTAGGAGCACACTCTAGATGAGAACCCATCTATCTAATCTCTGCAGTGTAACCTCTTAAGGTTTCAGGAACATACCTTAGGCAAGAGTCTATTCACTTAATCCTCGAATGCACAATGAAACTAGACACTTGATCCTAATTCACAAACTAACTAAAACACTTGACATGATGCACCGAGACGTGACCCATGCTTCCTTAATTAAATCAACAGTGAAATTTTCCAAAATGACTTAACCTACAATAAAACCCGGTGCACCGGGATTTAAGCTTGGATATTACACTCAAATTCTCCTGGCAATTGGGAATGACCTATGATACTATTCGCCGATTCTTGGTGGGATCGTTGCCCCCCGACACTCTTAGGTTGTCAGTAGTTCTAGCACGATTAGAGTGACTAGTCTGTGGGCTGTACTACTTTATAAAATATTTACAAAAATAAAATAAAAATTTCTTTTGCATGATTAAGAGAACTTTGCATAAAAAAAACTTGAATAATAATTTTTAACTTTTGCATGAAAATCTTTCTATGAAAATTTATAAAGGTCCACGGCTAATCACTTGGATTGAGGTTAAGAACTGTCTTCTGTAGATTATTGGGTCGGTAACTCCTGTTTAAGGTCGAGAAGCACACAGCCCAGCTCTGAGGACCCACTTTCACCAACTTCTTATACTCAGTCCTGATCTTTCATCTAAGTGTTTCGTTTGCTTGTGATTTCTACGACTCGTTTTTCTGACTTTTGTGCTGAGTTTTCTCGTATTGTTTAGTTTTCTTGCAAGTTTATTTAAATCTTCTGCAAATCATGATATGCTCGCAACATTAATAATACAACAATAACAGATGCCCAAGTACGCTTTTACAGTTTATCTACAGCATTTTACTTTATTGCATTTTATATTTCAAGTACATTTTATTTACCTGCGATTTGCTTATTCTCTATGCAAAACCAAAACTAAAACAAAACAAAACCAAAACATTGACACCAAAATTGTGAAGCATAAATCATCAATCTCAAACACTTAAACCTGGAGCCGTCGCGACTACAAGAGCGTAGAGTCAACTTTGTGAGCAGCACGACGACGAGCTTGGAGCGAGCAACAAGATCTTCTTCAGCATTATCTCTTCCTAGTATAATAACAACCCATAGGATTTCGAGGTAGCTCGCCTAGTGCGACGTAAATCCTCACTCCCTTTTTAGGCTCATGTACAACCATGTTGTGCAGCGTAAGTCCTAACCCGTCTTAGGTTCCGAGGTTGTCTGTGACACGACGTAAACACTCTCATCTCTGTGGGCTATTTGCATAATCGGGTATTATGCAAATGTAAGTCTCAAATAATAAAATTGGCAGGATTAAACATTCAAATAACATCGTCTCAAAAAATGTAGTCACACAGTAGGATAGTTTGGGAAGTCACTGAGGATTCTCCTCTAGATCTGTGACATCCCCTATTTCATCCTCTACCTTTTCTTTTCTTTGGACTCCTAAAATAATTGTTCCTATTTGAGTCACTCACACTTGTTTTTTCCACATCCTACCTTGAAAATCTGAACCTTGAATTCTTGAATACTAGAACCACTGATCATTATCGAGAGTTTTTTCAAATGACTCCCGTCACTTGGGATGCAATTAACTATAGGGGATTGACTCTATAGGGAACTTGGAACACAGGTAAAATAAACCATATTTAATTTTTGTATTAAATAGGAAAATTTGTCGGTCATACATAAAAGGTTCGAAGACCAAACGGATGTCACAAATCTCTTAGTTTGCAAGATTGGGTCTATCGCCGAGATCTACACTTATCTTTCGGGAGGGTGTAATATTCGCGGTATTGGACACAAATATGCAAACTATTGGACAAATGAGATCTATTTGGTCTCATTTTTCGAAAATTAAAACATACTACTTTCAAAACCCAAACTATATATCTATTATATTAAATTAAATTTCAAAAATTGTTTTCTTATACCATATTTTCTAATAATCAAAACAAAAAGTTGACCAACAATTACATCAAGGATCGGCTTTAAACCCATATCTTTTTGC